AAAAAAAAAAAAAAGGACAAGGTCTCCCTACATTGCTAGGCTGGTCTCAAGCTCCTGGTCTCAAGCAATCCTCCTGCCTTGGCCTCGCAAAATTCTGGGAATCCAAGGATGCACCACTGTGCCTGGCCAAAATATAGAACCTCTTTTTTTTTTTTGAGACAGAGAGTCTTGCTCTGTCACCAGGCTGGAATGCAGTGGCGTGATACTGGCTCACTGCAACCTCTGCCTCCTGGGATCAAGCAATTCTTCTGCCTCAGCCTCCCAAGTAGTTGGAGCTACAGGCATGCACCACCACACCCAGCTAATTTTTTGTATGTTTAGTAGAGATGGGGTTTTACCATGTTGGCCAGGATGGTCTTGATCTCTTGACCTCGTGATCTACCCACCTTGGCCTCCCAAAGTGCTGGGATTACAGATGTGAGCCACCGTACCCAGCCAGAATCTATTAAAGATACTCCACAGGATGAACCAATTTCTCTAACACACATACATATACATATCAGTAGCAGATTTTTATTAGATGGAGGATAAAAAGGGTTAGCTCATAGGTAAGTGGTAACAAATGGCAAGTACAGCCATGCCACAGAGGAATGCAGGCATTACTGGCTATGGGAATGGGTACTTATGAAATCTAAAGGTCAGGTCTCCTGATGAACTCTGAGCACCCAGTAAGCTCTTCTCCTTGGCCCTCAGTATGACCAGTGCTGGCATGAAAGGATCTACAGTAGCTAGTTCAACTTAGCCAATAGTTCTTCCAGTTCTGGTCGAGCTTTGAATCTTCCCTTGAAGTCTTCTTCAGTGTGCTAAGGAGAAGAAAAAGAAAATAAGTGGAAATTACTGCAGAGCTTTTAGTTACCCAAATATGCACAGCATCCAAAAAGGGCCCATAAGCCAGCTCTGTAGACAATCATTCAGATTCAAGTAACTTTTATAATCGACTATGTAGCAGACTTGTTTTAGATATTAGAGATTCAAACTTCAATCAGATTTCCTCCTTGCTTTCCGTGAACTTACAGTCTGGTTAGAAAAGACAGATATATGAAGATTTAATGTCAAAATGCTGTAACTATCACAATAGAAGCATTTAAGAGAGAGATAGAATACCAAACTTATTTACATACGAAATAAAACAAACAGGGATTGGACTATTTTAAGTCAGCATGACCAGCACATGCTGTCCCTGTACCCAAATCTATGTGAAGACCAAATAACAACCAGAAGCTTGACAAACATGGACTCAGAACAAGCAGAGCTGGATGGAGCAAATGGTACCAATCTAAGATGACCTGATACATCTGTGTCAGAAGAAGGATCATCTTGGCAACTGGACCCAAATACTGAGTTTTTAGGCTAAGATTCCTAATGTTCTCCAAGTTTTCCATGCCTGACCAAAAATCCTATTGAGTAGCATTCTTTATGAAATATATTCAGTCAGGCTACAGTCAAGCCTTGAAGGTCCAGGAAAGTTTTCTCTAACATTTATTTTCCTATTGGTGTTCTGCTTTATTATACAATATATTATCTTAAACCATGATCTTTCTTCTACACAACTGCCCGAAAAAGGAGATAATTCTGGGGCCTCAAAGGCTCACCACCAACAACAGGATGATGTGCTGAAAGTCAGCACTTATAGGCCACAAAGCATCATCCTTGATGCCTCAGAAGATGGAATAATGATCACAGTGTCATCAGAGTGCACGTCTTTTCTGATTATTATTTAGGCTACATTACCCACATTTCTCTGTTCTTTCTAATTTTTGAGTAGCCAGGAAGTCCAGATGTTCCTATCCTTGTTTTGAGCATACACAGGCCAGCAGGGGCCTCTTCTCAAATCAGCACCTACCTCCTTCACTAACAATCTGACTCCTTCAGGAAGATTGCTTTGGATTATTTCCAAGAAAATCTCTGCAAATGTAGCACTCAAACCGCTGATCTGCAAAATGAAAGAAGGTGTTCTGAGGGGTGGGAGGAGCTAAAAACAAGGCAATTAGGCAGACATGGTATGGGTTCAAACGCCAGCTCCATCAGAGACTGGAGAGCCCACGGATGGAAGATTAACATCAAAACTGGTTTCTGAACCTGGCCTCTACAGGATTTCTCCTGCTATCTGCCAAGCTGCTGAGATGGTCAGTGCCAATATCTGCTCCCTTAGGTATTAGATGTCATTACTGGACCAAGAGGTTTTAAAGTCCAGGGTCTTGGCCAGGGCATAGTGGCTCACACCTGTAATCCCAGCACTTTGGGAGGCTGAGGCAGTTGGATCATTTGAGGTCAGGAGTTTGAGACCAGCCTGACCAACATGGAGAAATGCCATCTCTACTAAAAATACAAAATTAGTTGGGTGTGGTAGCACATGTCTATAATCCCAACTACTTGGGAAGGCTGAGGTAGGAGAATCGCTTGAACCTAGGAGGCGGAGGTTGCGGTGAGCCAAGATCATGTCATTGCACTCCAGCCTGGGCAACAAGAATGAAACTGCATCTCATAAATAAATAAATAAGAAATAAAGCCTGGCGCAGTGGCTCACACCTTTAATCCCAGCACTTTGGGAGGCTGAGGCAAGTGGATCACCTGAGGTTAGGAGTTCAAGACCAGCCTGGCCAACATGGTGAAACCCCATCTCTACTAAAAATACAAAAAAATTAGCTGGGTGTGGTGGCGGGCACCTGTAATCCCAGCTACTCAGGAGGCTGAGGCAGGAGAATTGCTTGAACCCAAGAGGCAGAGGCTGCAGTGAGCTGAGATCACGCCACTGCACTCCAGCTTGGGTGACACAGTGAGACTCTATCTCAAAAAAAAAAAAAAAGAAAGTCCAGGGTCTCTTTCTGTTGCCCAGGCTGGAGTGCAGTGGAGCAATCATAGCTCACTGCAACCTGGAACTCCTGGGTTCAAGAATCCTTCCTCCTCAGCCTCCAGAGTAGCTGGGACTATAGGCATGTGCCACTAAGCCCAACTAATTTTTTATTTTTATTTTTTGGTAGAAACAGTGTCTTGCTATGTTGCCCAGACTGGTCAAATTCCTAGATTCAAGCAGTCCTCCCACTTTGGCCTCTAAAAGTACTAGGTTTACAGGCATGAACCATGTCACCCAGCTCAGGCTTTCTTTTTTGTTTTTTTGAGACGAAGTCTTGCTCTGTTGCCCCCAGGCTGGAGTGCAGTGGTGCTATCTTGGCTCACTGCAACCTCCACCTCCCAGGTCAAGCAATTCTCCTGCCTCTGCCTCCCAAGAAGCTGGAATAACAGGTACCTGCCACCATGCCTGGCTAATTGTTGTATTTTTAGTAGAGATATGGTTTTACCATGTTGGCCAGGCTGGTCAACTCCTCACCTCACATGATCCACCTTCCTTATTCTCCCAAAGTGCTGGGATTACAGGTGTGAATCACTGTACCCAGGCACACTGACTTTCTGATTCAACTCGGCTTTGCCCATATCCAGGCACACCAGGATCTGACTGGTGTCAGACCCTGTGCTAAGAACACAGAGGTGAATCAAATGTATGGTAAAAGGGCAGGCAGGGGGCTGCAAGGACCCACAAGAGAAATTCCTACCCAACTCAACCAAGGAAAGTCAAAAAAAGCTTCCAGAAGAGGTAGTATCTGGGTGAAATCTTGAAGAAAAATAGGAGTAAACTAGGAGAATTCAATAGTAATGTGGAGGATTTTGAAAGGAGAGGAAACAGCATTCAGTAAAATGTGGGGGCATAACAGTGTTAGGAAATTAAAACTAGCTCCTTGTGTGGCTGGAGTAAATGGGCTGCGAAGAGGAAAAGCAGGAGGAGAATCATGAAGGCAGCTGAGTACCAACCTAAAGCGTTCAAACTATTCTATGGGCTTCTAACATGTCAGATCTGTCACAGAATGTATTATAAATAATCTATTTCTGATTATATTTTAAAAGCCAAAGATTATACTTAATTATTTCTAAAATTAGCATACTTAGACTTAAATTTAACATTCATTTTATTACCTTGCTGATATGTTCCTTGAGTGGATCAAAAAGGGGTGATGCCTATACAGTGGGATATTATTTGGCAATAAAAAGGAATGAAGTACCAATGCATGTTATAACAGAGATGAACCTTGACAACATTATGCTTGTGAAGGAAGCCTGACACAAAAGGTCATTTGATGTACAATTCCATTTAAATGAAGAGATAAATACACAGAGACAGAAAGTAGATTAGTGGCTGCAAGGGGTTGGAGTGATCAGGAAAGAGACTGCTAAAGGGGATGCGGTTTCTTTTTGGGTGATGAAAATGTTCTGAAATTGATGGTGATGACGGTTGCATAACTCTTTGAATATACTAAAAACCATCTTTATTGTATATTGTATACTTCAAATTGGTAAATTGAATGTGTCCATTACATGTCAATTAATGCTCTTATTAAAAGGGGGATGATGTTAAAACTGGGGAAGCTGTGAATTTTTAATATCTCTGGGCACCCTCATGGTGGTGTGGTTGGCACTCATCTTTATCTGCAGGAAGAAAAGAGGACAACTGCTAGAGATCAAAGGAAGCCAGCCACTTAGGGGTTTCAAGCAGGAAAATGAGAGGATCACTTGGTATGGGGGTAAATGGAAGTGGATGAATCTGAAAGATTTTTAGGAGGTAGAAGCTACAGAATTTGGTGAATGAATAGATATCAAAGGACAAAGAAAGGTGACACATTAGGTTCAAAGGTGGAGAAGATTACAGAAAATGAGTCCCTCTATAACTAATTTTGCATAGACAGAGTGCAGGGAGAACACCTGTGGAACATCCAAGTCGAGAAGGCCAGTAGACAACCAAGTATCAAACTTCAAGCCTCAGCCAACAGATCAGGACTATGTATACACCTGGGCGTCATCAGTATTAAATGGTGGTCACTGAGGCCTGAGGAATGAATGAGACTACATAGGAGGAAGGTATTATAAAAGGAGAGATGGCTGTGTCAAGAACTGAACCCTGGAGAACACCATCATTCAAGGGCAGGCAGGAGAAAGACAAGAGCATGACAGAAGGGGAAAAAGTGGACAGAGACAAGAACCAGGAAAAGCAAATACATTTTTGATTCTCCTGGAGTGCCTACCTGAACCACTCGCTCATGGATGGTAAGCACTGAGTCCAGGAACATTTTGCTGCCTTGGTCCTGCAACTGCAACACTTCTAAGGTTTTGGTTGGTATCGCATAACTGTGGGAAGGAAGAGTCAGCTAATATGAGTGTTCACTGAAGCCACCAACAACTTCAATCATGGTAGTCCATGAGTATTGCCACTACAGCATGCACTAGCTCCTGGAACGCAGAGGATGCTTATCTGCAACCAGGAGCAAAGTAACTGGATCCCCCTTATCTCCTTCAAAAGTCTGTAAATTCCCTAAGCAAATACACAATGTTTAATGCAGTTCTGCATCTCTAATCATACTTAATACAATGCTCTGAATAAAACCTGCTGATTAATAAATAATTTGTTGCTACTGAAAAATAGCCCATTCTAAAAGAATCAAGTGGCCAGGTGTGGTGGCGCACACCTGTAATCCCAGCAATTTGGGAGGCCAGGGCGTCCAGGTCATTTGAACTCGGGAATTCAAGACTAGCCTGAGCAAAACAGTGAGACCTTGTCTCTACAAATATACAAAAATTAGCTGGGTGTGGTGGCACGTTCCTGTAGTCCCAGTTGCTAAAGAGGCTGCGATGGTCAGATCATTTGAGCACAGGAGGTCAAGGATGCAGTGAGCCAACATTGTGCCACTGCACTCCAGCCTGGGCAACAGAGAGAGACCTTGTCTTAAACAAAAAAAAACAAAAAAAAAGAAAAAAGAGAAAAAAAAAAGAATCAAGTTCATTACTAGGTATGCTTTGGAGGCTAACCTTGGGTATTAAACCTGTTCTGGAGAAATAATATATAAAAACTAAGTGTTCTACAACAGGATTTCTCAATGTCAGTGCTACAGACATTTTAGACCAGATAATTCTTTGCTGTAGGGGCTGACCTACACATCCACATACATCCCTCTACCCACTGGATATCTGCAGTATTCCCCAAGTGGTGACAGTCAAAACTACCTCCAAACATTATTAATTTTCCCTGAGGGGGCGACTTCTCTCTCAGGTTGTAGAGTTTATGCTTACTAAAATCAGCTTCAGCATGTCTATATGTTAACAGTGAAAACAACACGACCCATGGAGTCAAGTGTCGGCCGTGCTACTTATTAGCAATATTTACTTAGGTAAGTCACTTCCCCCTCTGGGCCTCAGTTTCTTCATATAAACAGGATAACCATCTAGGCCTATATCAACAGAGAATTGTGAGGACCAGGTATGTAAGACTGGACTAATGGCTACATGGAAATATGGTATTAGTGTTATGTTCATCTTATCAGAAAGTTCATAAAACTGAAGATAAATGAAATAATAATGACAGTAGGATTCCTAAATTTTCCGATGTCACAAATCATCACTTAATAAGCAAGCAGCATGGCCCTCTATAGGTGGACCTCTACAAAAGAAATTTAGAGGCCGGGTACAGTGGCTCATGCCTGTAATCCCAGAACTTTGGGAGGCTGAGGTGGGTGGAGCACCTGAGGTTGGGAGGTTGAGACCAGCCTGGCCAACGTGGTGAAACCCCATCTCTACTAAAAATACAAAAATTAGCCAGGTATGGTGGTGGGTGCCTGTAATCCCAGCACTCAGGAGGCCGAGGCAGGATTGCTTGAACCTGGCAGGCAGAGGTTGCAGTGAGCAGAGACGCACCACTGCACTCCAGCCTGGGCAACAGAGAAAAAAAAAAAAAAGAAGTTTAGAGTAATAAGCCAGGCATGGTGGCTCACACCTGTAATCTCAGCACTTTGGGAGGCCGAGGCATGTGGATCCCGAGGTCAGGAGTTTAGAAGGAATAGAAAATGGATTAGAGACATGTCAGTCAGTCCTGGAGTTAAATATTGGCTCTGCCACTATTACCTATTTGAACATGGAAATTCAGGTTTCTGAGTCTCCATTTCTTCTACTATAAATTGAAAATAATAAAACCTAATTCATAGAGCTATTGCAATGATTTTTTTTTTTTTTTGAGACGGAGTTTTGCTCTCGTTGCCCAGGCTGGAGTGCAATGGCGCGATCTCGGCTCACTGCAACCTCCGCCTCCTGGGTTGTTCAGGCAATTCTCCTGCCTCAGCCTCCTGAGTAGCTGGGATTACAGGCATGCACCACCATGCCCAGCTGATTTTTTGTATTTTTAGTAGAGACGGGGTTTCACCATGTTGATCAGGATGGTCTCGATCTCTTGACCTCGTGATCCACCCGTCTCGGCCTCCCAAAGTGCTGGGATTACAGGCGTGAGCCACCGCGCCCGGCCCTGCAATGATTAAATGAGATTACATAAATAATTGCCTGGCATACCATAAATGTAGTCAGTGAATGCAAGGTATTACAAATTCTTTCAGGCAGTCTTTCTAAATAACACCCCTACTGCTTTTCAGCATAATCTCTGATCTCCTCTTCTTCAAATTCAAATATAGTAATAACTTTTCAATATAAAAAAATGGGGACATAATAATAGATTTCTTATGGATGCTCAAGTGAAATAATTGTTTCAGAAAAGCAAAAACAACCTAAAATACTATTTTTCTTTTTTGGCATTCTGCAGATAGGACTGACTGACTAAAGTGGGAATTGTCCATTCCTGCCACCAATCATGGGTTTTATTTATTTTTATTTTTATTTTTTTTTTAGATGGAGTTTCGCTCTTGTTACCCAGGCTGGAGTGCAATGACACGATCTCGGCTCACCACAACCTCCGCCTCCTGGGTTCAGGCAATTCTCCTGCCTCAACCTCCTGAGTAGCTGGGACTACAGGCACGTGCCACCATGCCCAGCTAATGTTTTGTATTTTTAGTAGTGACGGGGTTTCACCATGTTGACCAGGATGGTCTCGATCTCTTGACCTCGTGATCCACCCGCCTCACCCTCCCAAAGTGCTGAGATTACAGGCTTGAGCCACCGCGCCCAGCATGGGTTTTATTCTTTAACACTTACTTCAGCAAGATTTCATTGACTTGTTCACTTATTCACTCAACAAACATTTACTAACACCCTGCTCTGTTCTAGGCACGCTGATGGGCAGTAAGAAGTCTATGCAGCCAGGCATAGTGGCTCCCACCTATAGTGTGAGCACATTGGGAGGCCAAGACAGGAGGATTGCTTGAGTCCAGGAGTTCAAGACTAGCCTGGGCAACCTAGTGAGACCGTCTCTATTTACAAAAAAAAAAAAAAAAGGCTGGGCGCGGTGGCTCACGCTTGTAATCCCAGCACTTTGGGAGGCCGAGGCGGGTGGATCACGAGGTCAAGAGATCGAGACCATCCTGGTCAACACGGTGAAACCCCGTCTCTACTAAAAATACAAAAAATCAGCTGGGCATGGTGGCGCGTGCCTGTAATCCCAGCTACTCAGGAGGCTGAGGCAGGAGAATTGCCTGAACCCAGGAGGCGGAGGTTGCGGTGAGCCGAGATCGCGCCATTGCACTCCAGCCTGGGTAACAAGAGTGAAACTCCGTCTCAAAAAAAAAAAAAAAAAAAAAAAAGTCAGCTGGGCATGATGGCCCACACCTGTAATCCCAGCACATTGGGAGCATGAGGCAGGTGGATCACCTGAGGTCAGGAGTTCAAGACCAGCCTGGCTAATATGGTAAAGACCTGTCTTTACTAAAAATACAAAAATTAGCTGGGTGTGGTGGTGAGTGCCTGTAGTCCCAGCTACTTGGGAGGCTGAGGCAGGAGAATCGCTTGAACCTGGGAGGAGGAAGTGGCAATGAGCTGAGATCATGCCACCTCACTCCAGCCTGGGAGACAGAGCAAGATTCAGTCTCAAAAAAGAGGTCTATGCTTTCAAGGAGCTCACTCTGAGTGTTTTAAAGAGCTAGGCAAGTATACAAACATTGTATTACAGTAAGACAAAGGCAATAATAGAGATGTGCCAAATACCATAGGGACAAGACGGGGAGGAAAGGGAGGCTCAGGGAAGGCTTCATAGGAGGCAGTCATTTATCAAGATGTAGAACAAGCCTTTATGTATGTAAGAGTACATACGGGTTGTTTTTTGTTTGTTTGTTTCTGTTTGTTTGTTTTAGTATCTATACTATTCTGTATCTTCCAAATTTTCTGCAATAAACATTGCTATGATGATCAGACAGTAAAACGAAAGGAAAGAAATGAAAGAACTGAATTTGGCCGGGTGTGGTGGCTCACGCCTGTAATCCAAGCACTTTGGAGGCCAAGGTGGGTGGATCACCTGAGGTCAGGAGTTTAAGACCAGCCTGACCAACATGGTGAAACCCCGTCTTAAAAAATAAAAAGGAAAAAAAGAAAGAATTGAATTTTAGGAGTCAACCTAAAATGACAAAATAATGCTATTTGGGGGGAGTATTGCTGAGAAAGGGACACAAGGAAGTCTGCTGGTGTGTTGGGGAGCTTCACTTTATACAAGTTATACCTCAATTTTTCTTTTTTTTTGAGACAGAGTCTCTATCACCAGGTTGGAGTGCAATGGCGCGATCTCGGCTCACCGCAACCTCTACTTTCCGGGTTCAAGCAATTTTCCTGCCTCAGCCTCCCAAGTAGCTGGGACCACAGGCGCACACCACCATGCCTGGCTAATTTTTATATTTTTAATAGAGACAGGGTTTCACCATGTGGCCTGGGATGGTCTCGATCTCTTGACCTCATGATCCACCTGCCTTGGCCTCCCAAAGTGCTGGGATTACAGGTGTGAGCCACCATGCCTGGCCTATACCTCAATTTTAAAAAATGTAAATGGATTTTTTAAAAAGAAGAGTAGCCTCACAGCGAGTGAGCTGAGTGATGCTTTAACTCTCAGCAGAGCACAGGTGCAGGTTCTACTTCAGGCCTGGAAGCTGCTCCCAGATGAGTGAGATTTCCAACTCCTCAGACAGCTGCTCAGCAAGGGATGCAGGCAAATTACGGGACCCACATGAGAGGCTCTTCCTCACCTCTCCTGGGTGAGTTGTAGCTGCAGCAGTGCAAACCATTTAAAGAACAAAAGCTGGTATCCTGCTGTCTAACCCAATTCCATCTGAAGGTCACGGCCATCATCTCTACCCACTCTCCCCGAGGAAAAATGGATGAAGATGAAATAAAAATCAGAAGAAAAGAATTTAATCTTTGAAAGGCTGGGCAGT